GGGGGGGGGACGCCTTGCCGTCGTAGCCTGCTCCCACGCCTTGGCCGTTGATGACGCTCTCCCACTCGAGGAGGTTTTCGTCGCTAATGGGGCCGAGCCGCTCGATGCCCTTCTCGTCGCTCTGCTCCTTGCGCCATGTGTCCATCTCCTTGAGGAGGCGCTTGGTTGCGGTTTTCGCGGAGCCGCCGCCAGGGCCGCTAGCTGTGCTGGACCGGCTGGGCGATTGGGTGCGCGGCATGCTTCGTTTTTTGCTGCGGCGGCGTCGGTGTGCGGGTGTCTGCGGTTGATGCTTTGTGCTTGGATGTGTGGCATGTGGTGATGGTTGATGGAGGTAGCAGGTAGTTGCATGTCTAGTGAGGTCGAGTCGGTTGAACAACTTTAGGTACATTTGGCCCAAGGGTTTTTGGGGTCGTGAGGCAGCTGATTGGAGGAGAGGGGGAGCTTGGACAGGGATTCGCGGGCAGAGCCGAGGCTGCGAGTGGCTGCCGACGGGAGAGGGATTGACGGAGCTGTTCTCCGTCCTCCGGAGCTACCTAGGTACCTAGGCATACTCCGTACACGGTAGGTTCAATTGATATTGACGTCGACTTGGTCGTTGTGTCGTGGCGATGGACCGACGGGCCGCAACCAACACGGGGGTCGCGTAACCTGTTATTTCTTCCACTCTCTTATTTTGCTGCGTTTGTACTCCAGACTCGGCTTCATCTGTCATGGCCGCACTTGTCCACTGCTTCTTGCATTCACAGGTATCCATCGCCCTCGCATGGGATAGCTTGTGACGACATACACCCAGGCACCACACATTGCAGTTTATGCGTTCAATTACAAGTATTCTCAGGATTAGGTATCATGCGGACATACGCCACCGATTATTTGCTTACTTCTTCTTCTTCTTCCCTGCAACCTGCTTCCGCTTCACTGGCGACGATGACTTCTTCTTACTCCTTACACGTTCAGGCGACTCCTCCACGACTATTGTCGAATTCCGACCCCTTTCCCTGGTCTTACTAACTGGTTCCCGAATCGGCGGCTGCACACGACCATCACTGTTACTGTCCTCGCTGTTTGAGCTGTGGGCGTCACTGGTGTCCCCGCCGTAGCTGGTTCGCCTGGACCCGTGGCTGCTCCTAGCTGCGGGGGGGTTCACCGTGCTCCGACGTTGGTCATGCATGACCTCGGAAGGTCCCGACGCATGCCGTCTCGAAGAAGCAGCTGCAGCGCCCGGGGGGTATGGCGCGTGCGGACCTGCTGTTTGATATTGGAACGGATCAAGGTGAGTATCCCGGAGAGAGCCCACTGATGAGCGTGGTCGGGAGGAGCTGTATTCGTACTCGTCGCGCGCACGGCTGGGCAGCCGTTGCGATGAGCTTGTCCCAGAGCGAGGTCGTGAACGAGACGCAGAAGGAGGCGGGAAGTATCCCATGGGTGGGTATCCTTGTCGGTCACGACCATCTGCCGGTAGGTCGCCGCCTGCTATTTGCCGCGGAAGGGAATCCTGTCTTGGGGGAAACTCCATTGATGCCGGCAGTGACGATTTCTTTTTGCGCGAGACCGGTCCGAACTGTGTCAGTGGCACGGCTATCCGCTGCTCCGACTTCTTCTTTCGATCACTCCCGCCTCCCGAGTGGCGCTGCTTCTTGCGTCTCGCTCGCTCCTCCTCTTCCATACGTTTCCGTCGCTGTGCAAGAGCCTCAAGTTCTTCCTTTCTTAGATGAACATCGGTCTGGCCAGCGGCTTGAGCCTGGTTTATTCGTTGCATCGCCGACTGAACCAGGACCTCTTCCCTCTCTTCCGGACTCAAGCCCGACAAATCGAGATAGTCGCTGTCCTCACTATCCTCACTATCATCCGAGTCACCCTCACTATCACTCTCGTCCGAAGTCGCATCGCTGTCATCTTCCGAAGCGCCAAACTGTCGGCGGCGAAACGTGCCACTGTCCCGATCACCCAAATCCACACCCGTAAATTGAAGAGAATCGCTCACAAAACGAGTGCCTCGCCGCATGGCCAACCCACCGCCTTGTACATCCGTTTCGTCCCCTTCGGTCCCCAGCTCTTCCACCCTAGAGCTATAGTGCGCAGCATCCCCATCAGTTTTCCTCCGCCCGCGCCTCGATGGTCTTCCCCATTGGGGCGCAAATTTGGGAGCTCGCGGCCGACCACCTAGACCGCCTCCCCTGAAAAAGCCTCATCGATGGGCTTGTCCAGAAGTGAAGCGTGACCAAGAATAGTCACGCCGGTAGCGCCGATCAGCCAAAGCAGGGTCGAGAATGGCGAGGCAATCAGACCCAAGGGGACGGCGACGATGAGAAGGCCCGTGTACAGCTGCGAGGAAGTGGCACGGAAAGTGCCAATTTCAAGATCGCGGCCGTCCAGGCGTCCAATGAACCACATACCGACTACCACGAGGATGATATCGAACAAGAGGAGCCAGTTGGTCAGAAGAGCGTACAGGCTCAGCATGCAGAAGACGACGGCATAGTTGCTGGAGAAGTGGCTCAAGTTGTAATTGACGCGCGACTGCATCTCGCTAAAGTTGGCGGGCTTGGAGAGTCGCTTGAAGTCGAGAAACTCAGAGATGGGCCGCAGGTTGGAGAAGCGACCAGTCAAAGGGCCAGAGGTGAGGCCTGAGAAGCGGTCTCCCAAGTTCAGACGCGACGTCAGAGCGTCGAGGGGGATCTGAATGCGAGCCATTGTGACGTGATGGATGGTGTGGCTGAAAGTCTGTATGAATAAAGAGGTTCGACGAGTTGCCAACGAGCCGAGAGTTGGAATAAATATGAAGGTATTTCGCTGGGGCCTAGATGTCACTGTCCAAAGGCGACGTCAGCCAGAGCTCCACCCCTATCGTAAAGGATTCAGTTTGAGACGTAATGCCCAAGTCGCGACGAGTTGCCGCAAGAGTACTCGGTACACAGCTGCCCGTCTCAGAGGCCAGAAGAGGGTGCTTGGTATTTCAAAATCAAGAACAGGAACAGAAACAGGAACACGCGAAGAGTCTGATTCGCTGAAGGGGTGCAGAGATCCTCGAGACAAGGGAGATGGATGGGTGAGATTTGCAACATACCAAGGGATTTTAGGGCGGCAAGGGAGCACCTGGTAACTTAGGTAGTCTAGCTGGAGAAACAAAGGCAGCTGTCGCAAAGCACGCAGACAGGTAGTATGGTCGGCCGGTGAGAGTCGGAGTAAGATGAGGATGGTTGAAGTCCAACACTTTTTTTTTCGATCCCTGTGAAATAATGAAATAATGGTGGACGTTGGTCACTTGTACTTGTCAGGGGCAAGAATGCAAGAAGTTGGCTGCTAAAGTTCGCGGGCAAGGCGACAACGGGTCATTCGCCGCGCCCCTGGCACGAGCACGGCGCCCAGCGTGCGGTGTACCGGAGACTTGTCCTATTTGCAGCGATTTGACTGGCTGGTGCTTCGCTACCTGCCCGGCGGGAGCCCACTGTGACAGCGTCCCCACCGTTTAGTCAGCAGCTGGCGACAGCTGCGCGAGTGGCTTGTGTACTTGAGCACCGAGGGTCTCCGTGCCTGAGAGCAAAGTCAGCGCAGCCCGAGTCGTGCAATGTCTGGTTGGCCAAAGCCAATTGCAGCAAGACAGGAACACAGGTCGTTGGCCAGTGACGACGGCCTCAAACCGTGACCTCTGGCGGAACGGGTTTCGACATACCTTGAGCTCAAACTGGCCCAGCCAGGCAGATGGCAGTGCACAGGCCGACCAGCAGCTGAAGTGCTCAAGGCTCCAGCGTTCTCAGCGAGGGATGGACGGAGTACTGGGTACCTGGCAACCTGGGCACCGGAACACCCACCTGGGAAGGTAATCCTGCTGACTTCCTTCCGATGGCAAAGTCCTAAATCTCGCACAAGACGCACAAGAAAGACCACATCCTTCCGTCCCCAGAGTGTGCAGAAGAAAGAATGAAGGAGGAGAATTGAAACTCAACCTCCTAGCAGTCCGGAGAAGATGGCAATTGCCAGAGACCAAGCTTTTTTTTCCTTCTGTTCGCGCTCTGCTCCGCACGCCGACACAGGCCAGTCAACAGCCAGACGCTTAATCCACCCAGCGTCCACTCTTCATGCACGCTGCAAGCTGCCACCCGCTCGAGCACGGCGACCGTCACCGCCTCCAATTGACATTGACCAAGTGCCCTTTGGCATAAACGCAAACCAGCACTAGCAGCAGCCTTCATGGTCTACTGGTTTTACTTGGGCTCTCGTGTCCGACCCAATGTCATGCAAGCTGGCCATTACAAAGAGCACGGTAAGCTACATCTTGGAACAATCCATGTGGACGCGAGATCAAAAGCAGGTCGTCGAGTGCCTGCATGCCTGCCTGATGGAACGAACAAGTCCCTCCTCGCTTCTCCCATACGTACATACCTAGGCAGTTCTGTATTAACAAACAGAAATATCAACCCTTGCTTCCCTGTCTCTGGGACTCCGCCTTTCGGATATGGTAGGCAAGATCCGCCTTCACCAGCAGAAAACGTACCATGAGGGCAGAGAGGGAGAAAGGTTAATCTTAGCTGATACTACACATGCCTACTAGCTACCCGGTAATTCACACATCCATCACAAAGCCCATACACGCCTTCTCATTGCAAAGGCCAGGATCCTAGGTAGGGATCTAGTGACATCATCTGAGACCAGCTTTTACGCGGAGCAGCTCGATGCCCAAACAATGCCCTCAAGACTGCTGTCCAACCAAGAACACATCAATTGGTGCTTCGTACTCCGTAAGAGACTTGCCATTGGGCTCGGCGACACAGGACATGATTATTGAGCCGAGGACAACGGTCCCCCCGGTAATAGTACTGGTACGTACGGAGTACACATGTACTATGTGGAGATGACCCCAGCTCTGCATGGATATCGCGGGACTCGACGATTCTCGATTTCGTCAACTTTTACCACCTCTGGCGTTGTATACATGGCTCATCACATGGTCGGGAAACTCGGGTATTGTGTTGCTATTGAAACAGAGTACTCGTACATGCTGCCCTACACCACATATTAACATGTTGAAAATGACCGGAAAATACTCCCGTGCATGGCAACCCGTCCTCCCGCTCAGAAACCAACAACGCAGAGGCGGGGGTATATGAGAAATGCACAACGGCGTGACCACCACCAAGGAATCAGTCAATACAGACCATTAAAAAAAGTAACACATCAAGTAGGCCTGTGCCTTGTAGTCTACACCTCAAAAAAGTAGTCCTCGTCAAGTCCTGCTCGGCTGGGCACCACTCCAGCGCCTGGAGGTGGCCCCTCAAACGTCGAGTCCATGCGGACGTTGAGCAACCGAATCTTCAGGCCGTACTCGCTCACCAAGTTGATCAGCTTGCTTGTCTCCGCAGTGATTGGAGCCTGGTTGAGCAGCATGAGCAAGCCGTCGAGCCATTCCGACGCTAGGCTGTGGCTGGTAGGCCACAATGTCAACATGGGGTATTCGTCAGTTTCGCCGTGCTCGTTGACTTCGCCGGCATACATGGTGATCTTGGTGGTGGTTTTGGAATGGCTGGCCAAATTTTGTACCGTGGAGCCACTTGCGTGGCTTCTCCTGTCGTCCGTTGCAGACACGTTGGAGCCCACGGAGCTGACGGTGCCCAAGTCCATCTTGTTGGTCAGCACGTCCAGGCCTGGATCCTGGGCCATTTGCTCCTCAAAGTCTGCGTAATGCAAGTACCGGCGGTTGTGTGATAGCTTGGCGAAACGCCACGGCGAGACGGCCTTGGCATCTTCTGCATCTTCCCGGCCCTTGTTGTGAGATGCCGGCTTGCAGAACCACGAGCCCTGCAGAAGGCACCGCACCCGCTGCTCCTTGACGAATTGCAGAGCCTCCTGCTTGAGCGTCTCGCGCACTTGGTACAGGTGTTGGCCCCATGTGTCGTCGAAGGAAAGCTCCAGCAGCTCCATCTGCAGCTCTCGAAGCTGCGCAATATCGTACTCCAGAATGTCGTCCTCCACCTCGAGAATATCCTTTGTCCGGGACGCTCGACCAACGACCTGTTCAATGAGGATACGGACGAGCTCTGCCACCTTTTCAAAGTCATCCGACTCGGCACCAGTGGCCTTCCATATGCGCAGGAAACCCAATAAGCCGGCCGCGTGTAAACGAGACCACTGCAACAGCAATGGCCGGAATAATCTATCGTGGTCCTTCCCTTCCAAACCCTGATATCCCTTGCTGTCCTCCATTTCGACCCCATCGACCTCGAAATGATGATACAAGATGATGGTTACAGCTAAGCTGGCCCTTGCAATCGGGCATCTTTCTTGAAGGGGCCTTGTAGCTTGTTCAAGCAACAGCTTTTGAAACCCGTCTTCGTGCTTCCGGACATAGTCTGTGAGGTCCATCATGCCCAGATACCCCGTAGTATCAAACTCATGCGCGGGACTCTCCGTTTCGAAGCCAAGCCGCCTCCACTTCTCGGGGTTGTGCTTTCGGCCATCCTTCTTGCCGCCTTCTGCAGCGTCGTCTTTGGAATGTCCATTGACGGCGCGTTCTGGCGCGCTGGCCAGATGGATTCCCTTCAATGCTCGTCTATGGTCTGGCCGGTCCAGGTCAACAACAACCTCCCGCCACTTCCGCAGCAGCACCTTTGTGAGCGATTGGAATTCCAATACCGGATGCGCCAGGTCTTGTATTGAGGAGCTCTGCATGAGCTGGTGCACGGCCTTGATGAGACCCAAATCCTGCAGGCACTTTACCAACTTTGCCCAATCCTCGCCACCGCTCCCTGTGCTGCCGTTTGTGCTAGAGTATGTAGACCCGTTCGAGATGGAGTCGCGGATGAGGGCATTGATGAGCATGAGGGCATTTGCGCACAGCGCATGGTCAGCACTTTGTAGCTGCTGGATAACCAATTCGAAGAACTGCGGGTAGACAGCAACAGCTGGCTTGAGGGCGCGGAATCCAAACGAGCCCGGTGTCGACCCAACGGGGCTGGGACTCGCGGGCGGACTGGACTGAGAATGGCTGACGAGGGCAACGAGAATCGACATGGCTCCACGGAGGATATTAACCAGCGGATTAATGACAATGAGCTCGACGACGTGTTCCACAAAGGCGCTTGCGGACGGCCCCTCGAAGATGTCCCAACCCATGTCGACTTCCAGGAGGCGCGTGAGGCTCTGCAGCGAGTAAGCCAATGTGTTGCCTCCAGATTCCATGATCAGGCCGCGCAGCACGACAAGACCACCAGACGATATGAAGACGTCGGCAAAAGAAGGGTCGTTGATGGAGGTCTGGAGTTTGAAGACTGCCATCTTGCGCGCGGCATCTTCGTCGCTGGACAACCGCGCCAGAAGCGCAGGAATGTCGGCTTGATCCATGGCGAGCGAATCCCACCACGGCGAATGGCTTGTAAACGTCGGGTTCGTATATCGAGCACTGGTGGTATACGGGAGCAATAATTTCAACGGTAGGCTATGATTGCTGTTTGGGGTGCAAGTTCTCGATTCTCAACCGGTATGATGTGATGGTGTCCGTCCTCGGTAGAGCATCCTTTGTGATGGTAGCTAGAGGCAGAACCGAGGACTCTCGCACGGCACCGTCGCAGGTGAAATCCAACCCACCCCCTTTGTGGCGGCGGTGGTGATGCTGCCAGGCTGGTGTTTTGTTTCGTTTGGGTTTACTTGGACAAGTTATATCAATTACCCGTGAGCGACTAAGTGGACGAGCCACTTATGCAAAAAAGTGACCTTCACCACGGCAATTAAGGGGAAGCAATCGCATTGAGGCAGAAGAGGTCCCGCCGCACCGACCCCGACAGTTGGATTGACCCCAGTTGCCCAGCTGGAAATGATGTCCGCTGGGCGCGCCGCAAGTCAAGACAGTAGCCGCGTCAATTCGCCAACCCGGGACCGTCAGTAATGCCAGCTGCACCGCCACAGAATCATCCAGACAACATTACAAATCAGCCACGCACGTGACACAGCCTGCGTGGCGCAAGGCTGCTCCCAATCCCCAAAGTCATTCGGTATTCTGTACCTCAAGAGCCATCTCCATCACCAAGCTTCACAAGTTCAACACCCAGCATCCCAAACACATTTCCCCCCCAAACCGTCGCCCAACCCATCGGGGGATCCTCACTTCAACAATGGCCAACTTTCTAGCCTCAATCTTTGGCACCGAGCTTGACAAAGTCAACTGCTCCTTCTACTTTGTACGTCCCTCGACCCCATTCATTCCCTTAACCATCACCAGTCGCCAAAAAAAAAACCAAAAAACCGAAGCCCAAGATGTACTGACACTCCATCCCCAGAAAATCGGCGCCTGCCGCCACGGCGACCGCTGCTCCCGCAAACACGTCAAGCCGTCGTACTCGCAGACGATCCTCATGCCAAACCTCTACCAGAACCCGGCGTACGACCCCAAGAACCGGATGAACCCGTCGCAGCTGCAGAACCACTTCGACGCCTTCTACGAAGACATTTGGTGCGAGCTCTGCAAATACGGCGAGCTAGAGGAACTAGTCGTCTGTGACAACAACAATGACCGTACGTATATGAGCGGGCCCCTCCCTCCCCCAATGGCGCGCCGAATGGTTTCGCAAACATCTCACAACAGAATGGAAGAAGCAAGATATGCTAACAAAAAAGACAGACCTCATCGGCAACGTCTACGCGCGCTTCAAATACGAGGAATCCGCGCAAAAGGCCTGCGACGAGCTCAACTCCCGCTGGTACGCCGGCCGCCCCATCTACTGCGAGCTCAGCCCCGTCACCGACTTCCGCGAGGCCTGCTGCCGCCTCAACTCGGGCGAGGGCTGCGTCCGCGGCGGCTTCTGCAACTTTATTCACCGCAAGAACCCGAGCGAGGAGCTGGACCGCGACTTGACCCTTAGCACCAAGAAGTGGTTGAAACTGAGGGGTCGGGACGAGCGGAGTATGAGCAGGTCGCCTACGCCAGAGGCGTCCAAAAGACGATAAATCTTGAACCACGATTTATTTTTTTATTCAATTTTTTTTTTCGTTTGCCATTGGTTTCATGTGGCAACTTGAAGGGTTAAAGGGGATTGTTATGATGGCTTCACCAGGGCAAAAACTGTACTACATATATTGGCGTTAAAAAAGGACGGGTATATATATTCCAGGGTTGTTTATCTGAATTGATATCACGCTGACGATTTCTTGTCATGTACCTCCACAAGATCAATCCAATCGGAAGTTTCCCGACAAGGCTAAATAGTATTTATTTCTCTTGTCGTGCCGGTGTTGAAGCCTCTTCGTGTGTTCCCCTCGTTATCGTGCACGCTGCGGCCCACGCCTTCATGCTTGTCAGGGCACTTTCGCAATCATGCACGACACCCTATTTTATCGTCATGTAGCCTGTTCTAAGACTCCTTCGCGTCCGCGATACGCTCGGAATGCGCCCCAGTCATTATTTTTATTCTGTAGACCAAAAGAAAAAGCCAAGAACGCCCTAACCCATGTATTCAATAGCCGTGGTAGTAATCAAGACGTATGAGCATCTCTAAGGCTTATCGCCGGCGGCTGGTAAATCCTTCTTCATGTCGTCGGCAAAATCGATTAGTGCGCCCTCTGCCGGGTTTCCCGTCGAGTTTAGCAAATTCTCAATCTCAGTAGACTTATTGTTTGTTATTGGCTGTGTAGGCGGGTCATCACCACCAATGTCAATAAGGTCACCTGCCACGCCATTCTTTTCCGCTTGACCGTTCGCTTCCTTTCGAGGTGGGATGGCGAAGTCGCCATCCAGTTTTTGCCCATCAACTACGGGGTAGATAGACAAGAACTGTTTAGTTTGCTCTTCGGGGGACGCCGTAGGGTCTCTGCTCCGTGTTAGCGCTGGGTTACAAGCGAGTGTTTTCCTTTGTTCTGCTTACACTGGAGTATGGATGATCCATTCGAGATCATCCCCAACACCATCGCCAGGCTTGACCCGTCGGAACAAACGCGGATGCCAATCAACGCCATCTTGTGCTCTGGCAGCGGCTTCCTCCCGTTGCCTGTCCTCGATCTTGGTCTTTGCATCAGTAGCTACTTCGTGATTCTTCTCTTTGACAGCCTTTGCAGTTGAAGCCCAAAGTTTCTGTGATTCTCGCTCCTCCTGCTCAGCCAAGGGTCGAACTTTTGGTGAGCTTGGCTTAGACGTCATGGCGTTGAAGAACATGTCCTTATGCCCGGTCTTGTTGCAGTGATTGTTAGCAGGTTTAGTGCGTTTGGAGCTATCCCGCTGGTAGGACTTGCCTGCACATCCTTGATGAACATCTCATCACTCCAGAGTCCTGACAGTTCATAAAGAACCTCGCCGGTGCTTTCCCGCTTGATAACTCCGCCAATTGCGTTGTATGTACCACTGACCCAGCCCTTCACCTTGAACTCGATGTCCGCGGTCAGGTCCAGTTCTGGACATCGTACAAAGCTATGATCACCGAGCTCATACTTCATCTTTCCAAACAGAATACCGCGAGCATACATGTTTGGCTGGGTCAAAATGCTAAAAGCTCTTTGTTAATGGTCCAATCTCAACATGGCAGCCGCGTCATGACTAACTATTGCTCTCCAATTGCTTTGTTCTTCCCTCTATTCAAGAAGCTCAGGTATGCGACACCCTCCATCATGCTAGCAGCAGAGTTGCCGAGGAATCTGCTCCTCGGCTTCAAGGTACCGTCGATTCGAATGTGATAGTCCGGGGCCATGTAGAAGTAGCTCGACTTTGGAGGATGGTGCGATGTTTGCTCGGAAATGTAGTATGCTCGCTTGTTGTTCCCGAGCTCCCAGTAACAGGTAAAGATTTCGCCAAGAATAGGGTTGAGTGGCTTCTTGACACCTCTGATGGCCTGGTTAGCGATACGATGTCTCTTCAACGATAAGCGCCGCGGGGTCGCGGGGTAACTGACGGGGGTCGGATATGCCATCCACTGAGGTAAAACTTGACAACGGAAACAAAGCGCTCGACAGGATCGTCTATTTCGGGTATTTGAAGAAGCATTTCCGGGTGGCACATGAAGCTGCGTATGCCGGTTAGCAAGAGTCGGGCAAACAAAATAGCGACGACATTGGTCGCAGCTCGTCAGAGCCACCACGGGGCAGCCCGGGCACACACATACTTGGTTATTCTTTCCAGCATGCTTCGAGGCTCGAGGATAAAAGTAGGCAAGACGACCCTACTAAGATCGGCGCCAGGTCGCAACTGTGAGATGATGTGGGACAGAACTACGTTGTGCCTGGTTAGCTAAACAGTTTGGCGCGGGAAAGCCTGCCAAGTAGACGAGGCGCGAAGACTGGCAGCCGAGCTTGGCAGGGTTCCAAGTTGAGGATCGAGAGGATCGCGATGATGGCCTTACCATTGCCCTGATCAGGCTCCATGACCTGGGTGTCTTGATCGTTATCGCCGACCCTAGTCTCATCGGAGGAGGAATGGCCGCTACCTTCGGGTTGCGAGCGCCAGTTAGAAAACATGGCGGTCTGGCAGGTGAGAAGTAAAACCAAAGAACAAAGGGACAAGAAACACAAAGACGGATGACCAAGAAGTCTAAAGCAGGGTGGCACTGTGGAAACGTGTTGCGCGAGTATTGAGGGTCTTGTCTGTGGTGATGCCAAGGGCGCTGCTTGGTTTTGGGTCAGAGACTCGGGCGCACTGGAGGTGGCCAGCTTAAGAAGGCACGGCCAGGCGCCACTAGGCAAGTGCGAGTGAGACCTGAATGTTGGGTCCGGGAAAGCAAAGCTAGAGGTAAGACGGAGGCGGAGGGCGGGGGATCGACTGGTGAGCGAAACAAACAATGAAAGACGACTTGGGGAAAAAAACAGACAGGCAGAGAGCGCGAGAAAAATAAATGGCTTAAGTTTTTTTTTATTTAGTTTTTTTTTTTTAAAAAAAAAAAAAAACAGCACCCAGAAACCATGCGCAAGCCTAGCATGAGCGGCAGCACAGGCAACATTGAAGGCGGCAGGACGGAATGGGAGCAGAAGCTGGATTGGGACATGCAACGCTGGAAACAGACGACTCACTAGCAGCAGTTGAGGCGCGACGTCGGCCTGGCACCGAAACCAGGCCCCCCAAGCCACTCAGGACCATGACGACAGACGAAGGCAGACAAAGCCGAGACGAGAGGAAAAGGCCGGCGGCGGCGGCGGCGTCGTGGATTCGTGGAGCTTTGGCGGCGGATGTTGCCAGACGGACAAGCTCGAGCTCGAGCTTGCAGTTACTATTATGTTGTGGCTGCTCCCGTAGGTCCCGGATCAATCAGCCAGATCAAAGATGGTCGGCGTTCCAGATTCTGTTGGCCGCAGGGGAATGCGCCTTTCTGCGTGTCTCGCCGATGTATTTTGTGTCGTCCAGAGCGCCTGGATCCCCAAACAACCGGAATGATCAAAGTGCTCAAAGAGGTGCCGTTTGCTCCCCCAAAGTCTCTGTCCGAGGCAACTCTCAAAGCCGTGCGGTTTGTGTTCGATGCAGGGCAACTCGGGAGGCACCACGAGGGCCAGTCCACCACGTCAACTAACTAGTATTGTGGGTGGCAAATAAGCAGGGCCAAGTCCAAAATGTCGAAACGTCACCGCCCGATCCGCGAGATACGCCTCGTGTTCTTGGCCGCCCCCGAGATCCGTGCAACTCGCTACACGTGTATTCCTCTTGGCTGGTCTGAAGAAGACCAAGATGTCAACGAGTCCAACAATGTCCTTCTCAATTGTGGCTTGGGCGTGGGCCAAGAGGCACGCTTGTCTGTTCTCCGTACTTGAATTGAGTACGGGCGTATCCCGAGCTTCCCCAGTTATGAATCTCGCCGTGGCCACGTGTGAAGGCCGTTTGGCTAAAGCCTGGCTGAACAATGCAAAGTATGTAGTATACACAAGGAACAGGGAGCCGTGGGACAGAATGCTAGGATAGCACGAGTTGCGTCACTACCTGCTTCTAAGTAAGTAGACACGGAGCAAGTAGGTCGGTCTGGTTCATGTGTAAATGGCGGGCTTGCGGATGGGCACTAGGAGGTGGTAAGCGTAAACAAGGACGATGGTGTCTAGAGTCAACACATTAATGCGGTATACAAGGCGTGCGAGGGTAATAAAGGGGAGGAGAGAGAGGAGAAGAATGGACACCAGGCACGAGGCCGGAAAAGAAAACAGGTCAACCCGGTGCCGGCAGCTGAAGTGGTGGACTCAACTGGTCAATGGATCGGTCCGGCCTGGTGGACTCGATAGACACAAGCTCAGCGGGCAGCTACTGCATTTGCGGGTTTAGCGTTTGCCGACCCTTGCGGATCAATTGATGTTTCAATGTTTCAATGTTAGCACCACATGCACCCACACGGCGTCTAGTTAAGTCAAGTTACCCCACGCGTGCAGCAACTTGACCACCTTGGGCCCTCCCCTCATCGACGAAGCCATGCTCTCCGTATCACACATACACAGCTCAGTCAGCCATGTCACACTTGCAATACCTACCTAGGTAACTACCACCAAAATGGCTCCCGACCTCACGACGTCCATGACTGACTGGTCTGTGATTCTCGCGCAGCTTCACAGATGAATGGCCAGGCAGGCCCTATTCCGCCGCCGCATGACATTACATTACACTTCTACGGAGTACGGAGTACTGGTCTCCAAAGTTCCATGCAACACGGGAATACAAGCACCATGGATCATATTGGGACGCTGGTGACATTTCAACGCACACGCCCGCCACCTCGTCGCTAGTCCGTCGTCACCTCTTCTGCCAGTCTCCAAAAACACGGCAAATGCGAAGCTACCCCAAGTTCAGTGGCGGCCCCAAGCGCATCGTGATGCCGTGCTGGACCGGGGTTTCGGGAATGCCAGACAAACGCTTGCACATGTCTAGTCCTCCGGGTTGGCCAGGACAACTGAGGGGTTGACTCTATCATCAGCCAAAGCTAACTCGAAAGGATCTCGTAGAACAACGACGCTGTTGTCGTTAGTTTCTCTCTCGTTCGTCCGTGCTCCTCCGTACCCCAGTCTCAACACCGAGCCTTCTTTTCTTCACCCGCCACAACGACACCTCATTAGTGGGGGCGGGGTTTGTTTGCCCATGCCTAGGCCTGATTTGACTGATTAAACGACATCGACGTCAACATTTCAATTCGACGATCGTCAGAACTTGTCCGGGGAAGAAGCTACGGACTACTTGGGCTGGTGTAACGTCTCACCACCCGACATTGAATGCCCGTCCGCCAGTGCACGACATTTTGCAGCCAGATTGACTCCAAGGGCTCCCGCTTCTTTCCATGTCCCCTGTTGCGTCCCGATGGATCTGGCCCATCCTCGGAATACGGCAGATTGCAATAGGCCTGGTGACGGCTGCCCATTGTTCCCTGTCATGTATGTATGTACATAGATGCTTCGCCCTCATGCAGCCAAAATCTCTAGTGCCTTGTCCAATGTCCACGGTTCAGTGAACACTTGATTGCCTTCTGCCAACCTGAGATGACTACCACCATCAAGCCCCTCTTCCAACCCTTCTTCAAAGACCCTCGCAGCCTGCCTTCCATTTCCGTTCAGACCTCGTTCTGCCAAATCAACCAACCAGATGGCCTCGAGTGCTTCTTCCGCGAATAGAAACACTGCCACCCTTGCCTCTATTGCACCCCGAAAACCCCCGTGTTTTTGTTGAGATGCAGCCCAGTTCCGCTGACCGACCCAGGGCCTAATCTTCATCCTACAACCTTACTGTACCACATTGATATTGTCTGGGCCGGCCTTGGCTCTTGGTCCAAGATCGATGCTCCGGAATGAGCCAATTTCCCACTTGTGTGAATGCCGTACTGCGACAGCATAAGCCACTACACGTTTTCCAGAGACCGACTTGGTCATCACCTCTATAACCTCTACAGTCTGGCTGAGGGAATGGAATGGCCTTTGACACGGATATCTTTGTGTCGCATGTCCATCAACAGTCCCTGCCACTACTACTTTCCTGAGGTTGCGTGCAACCATTATGCACCTCCGGATTAAACCTGGCCAGGGTAATAATAAACACCCATATCCCAAAACCCCGGCACAGCACAAGTCAAAACCTTACTCCGTACTTGTGGTGGTATTTTTCAACAGACCCCTTGCCCCATTGGTTACAATCGGTGTACAGAAAAAAAATTGTGTATTGGAATAATGTAACGGCTGTCGTTGTTCAAATGCTCCGCTTCAACGCCTCGCTGGCCCGACTGTCTCGAACATGATGAGCAGTCAAGTGGGCCTATGCTGATTTGTTCTCAAATCTAGTTATTCGTCCATCCTTTGGGAAATCAACACTAGGTATTCGTGCAAACTCTCACCCTCTCGTCTAAGTAGCTGCTGCCTGCGCTAGAAGGGTGCCTCTTCGCAGATCATGTTAATTTATGCGTCTCTCTTGGCGATACTCGTCATTTGTTAAATAGTGATTCTTCACTTTGGTTTGCTTAGCTTGCTCAGTATGTAGCTGAAGGAGGTGTCATTCCTTCACCTCAATCGAGATGAGATTCTCGATGACCCTTTGGGGGTAGCAGGCAGGCATTTGCAAAGTAGGTCTCGATCTGCATACTAGTGTAAGTGCCATGCCTATGCCATAATGCACACATCTCCAATATCCGTGCTTACCTGCTTCGTTCTCGAACATGATAGAAATGTCATCATGTTCACCAGGGAGATCTGGTAGATCGAGACAAACAAAGGCCATGTCATCATAGTCCGAATCCTTGTCTGCGGATAGCTGTGGTAAAGGGAACTTGGCGTCGACAAACCTGAGCCCGGCTTTGCTTCCTCGTTGAAAGGTTTCGTAAACATCCGTGCCCTTGAGCACAAAGTTCATACAGTGGCCGTGCTGGAAGTCCTCGAAGAACGCCAGCAGCTGAAGTTGTTTATCTTCTAATTTCACCACTTGGATTCTTGAAAGGCCCGCTTCCCACTTTTTGTGAATGGGAACGACCATACGTCTTCTTGAGATGGCAAAAGTCGCTGCAATGGCGTCAAATATGACTTCAAATCCAGTCATTGCGGTTTGGAATTCGTGAAGATCCT